AGGTAAAAAATAGATAATTTGCCTTAAGAATAAGATATTTCTTCAGTGAGCACACTAATAACATAGTTTCTACTTTTACTTTGAAAGAAAAAGGAATGGGTCGTGGAATTTATAAGTACTGACCCAAGTTTCACCCAGAATATTTTAGCTTTACCAGTTGTGCGTGTCACAGAACATACAATAAATTAAAATTAACAGCTGGAAGGTGATGCACTCTTAAGACAGAAGTGATTAGGGAAGCAGCCAGGGAGCCAGTTTAACCAGCTAGCTGGAGATTTCTTCTACATGGGATTTCCTGTAACATCACTCCAAGAAAATTCACAGCACAGGGAGACTATCAGGAGGAACGAGAAATATCTTAGCGTCTGGTTGTTTAAAGATCACAGAAAGCTAATGTAGAGAAGTCCAGAGAACAATCTGCAATCCAGAAAGCTTAAAAACTGGCTTAAATTTTATCTATCAAACTATGCTACATGCCATTCAGATATAAACCAGAATTTTGCTCGCTTCAACCCTTAATTTCATTACTTTATGTCATATCCTGTGTCACAACTCTATCACACACTCAGAAATGCAAGAACCGTTGGGGTACGCTTTGACAGCTGTTAAGCTCTATTCGAAGTTGATATTAGCGTTGAGGAAGATGCTGTTTCTATTTTTGGCTCTGTGAGTAATTCTAGAAAGTTACATTCATTCAGTCTGACACCTGATGAGAATCTCATGGCTACCCCAAGTGGAAATGTCATGGGCTTTTTCAGTGCTCATTTGTAGTCAGGACTAACACTTTCAGCCTTGTCTAGAATGATTCATACACCATTGCCTAGGTTAACACAGTTTTCTTTTTAGTTTTAGTGACTTCCAGTTGCAAAATAGGATTCAAATCAATGAGGAAAATGGTTCCCTCCTTTGACAATGACAGTAGGAGGTATTTTTGTTTTAGAAGAAAGTTTTGCAAGTGCTTTCTCATAGATATTTCATTTTATCATTTTATTGACATGCTGAATATGTTCCATTTGGAAGAAGTCACTGCCAGTCGTAAGCTTCCCAGTGGAGTTACAGAAAGCTGGAGCCTTCTCCCACAGGACCTCTATCACTGTAGCAGTTCTATGCCCACCACATACAGATATTTTTAAATTGAACTGTTGGAAAACTTCTCTGTATACCATTTCCTCTCAGATGATATTGTCAGAAAAATCTACACAAAATGAGGTTGGATTAATCATGACATATCTGTGGGAATGGAACATGAGACCCACCTTACAGTTCTCCTCCTACCTGAGGAGTCAGATCTTCTTACCTGTGTGGGTCAGATCAATCCATCTGACCCACACAAATCTCTATCATGCCAGGACACTTGAAACAACTGAAAGTGCAAGAGTTATGTTTAAGGTCTTTTCCTATTCACATAAGTTGAGCAATCCTTCGAATCACAGATTTCAGGGTGCACAATCTGTCCCAAAGAGCTGTAGTTATTTTTTTATTTTCAACCTGAATTCAAAATTCTCAGGATGGAGAACACCTACTGGGCCTACATTTCAATTAAATTATGTTGATATCTTCAATGAAGTCATCTGTAGTATAAGTGCAAATAAAATGAAAATTTACCACCCCCATTCCTGAAATTTAGCACGTGTGTGTATTTCACACATTTAATGTGAGTGCCCCAAATGTCACCGTAAAGGTAAACAGGCCAGTTTTTAAATATCAGGCACAGCATGTAGATGCAATCTATGACAATAAAATCTGGCTTTATAAAGGGAAAAAGGCATGCAAAGGCAAAACACAACTGTGATTTTCCACTTCAAACAGATGAAAACTAGGAATGTGCCTCCTCAAAATTGTGTTACGTAAGTTTTATAATAACCCTCATACTCATAATATAAATGATTTGTAAAGACAGAAAATTATTTTAAATATGTCTGTATGCCATTTCAAACAGATTAAATCCCCTAATTTAACAGGACAATTTTCCAGCCTCTAGATTCTAGGCTGCTCTTTTAGTAGTTTCCAATTGTTTATTGTATTCTTTCACTTCTTAACTTGAAGGTTGCACTAAGGGCACTGCAAACAAATGTACTAAGTCATGTCATCTGATGGGCCAAAACTTACTGAAGCTTCTTTCATTTCAAGGAATTAAAAAGTAACTGACGAAGAACTGATGAAGAAGAAAATACTTTTAGAGCTGAAGCAATTTTACATCAGGAAGATGAAAACAAGGATTAATAGATTTGAATGAATGGTCTTTTGTTCATACGAAAAAAAAAAGTTTACAACACAGTGTACCTAAGATGGGAAGTGACTGGCTGTGATATAAGACAATAAAGATCCATCTTTTATATACTGTATGCAAAACACAAAGAAAAATGCTCAGAGCAGGCAAGAAAAGACATCAGCTGATACATCTTTATACTATGAAGTGCTACTACGGTAAAACACAGAAATCTTTTTAACACCTTACATTGAATAGTCTCTCTACAAACGATAATTATAAAATTGGTCTTACATTCAATAGGCTATTTGTGAAATAAATTATAAATTTACTGCAATAAAGACAACAGAATCTAGATCCACATATCTTTAAATATCTTATCACTTAATATATGAAATAGCCTATTATGCAATCTAAGAAGGTAACACTATGTGACTACGACTTTACAAAACTAGAAGTATATGTGTATTTCTCAAGTTAGAATGTCAATTATATTATTATGCTTTACTGGATTGAGATTAATATTAAATTACATAGAGAGGGAACAACAAGAGAGCTCACGTCATCATTCTGAAATCAAGTGTAGTCTTACTAAGGAGAGCATGACCACAAGAATATTTTGTATTAGTCTTATTTTTAAAAATATTAGAATGTTATGAAAGATTGCCAGTGGGGTTTCATTATTATTCCTAAAGATTAAGTTACTGGTTCAATCTCATTAGAAGTTTTTCAACCATAAATTTCCCTTCAACACGACAAGGATTTTTACTAATTGAAAACTATAAGGAGAAAGCAAATGTTTCTTCAAATTATACCTGCAAAAACTTTCTTAGTATTTCTTGTATTTCCAGTGTCACCTTGGAGAAAACCAGTAAGGGATGGCATCTAGCAGCCCAGTACTTTATCAGATAAGTAACAAAATGTAAGTTCTTACTAAGATTTGAACTTGTAGATACATAGAACTTGATCAAGTGTAGGAAATTTGCCTTGCATTGCATCTGCACTGCATTTAATTATATAAGAAAATATACTTAAATAATTGGAAATCCATACAGTGGCCATTATCATCATTACACATTTGTTGTATACAATAAAACCCCCAAACCCTCATTCACTAGAAGGAACAAGAAAGTGAGAGTGCATTGTGTTATATATAACAGTATATATGAAACCAACCGAACCCTTGGCAGTGCAAATTTACAGTATTAAAGGATGCAGTAAACTAACCATTTTAAATTAGTAAATCCTACTTTTTATTTATTATACTTCACAGAATAATTGATCGTCAGGCATGATGTGAGTAAGATCACAAATCTCAGCACTGCAAATCTGTTTTGTTGTTTGGACTGGATGTTTTACTATACTTTCCTCCTAACACAGCAAATTAAATAGAAAATAATAAGAAATTAACCATATATCTTCCCTCTTATGCACGTATTTCCTTTAGCTGATGGCTTTTGTTGTAACACAATAAAAGCTACCAAGTCCAAATTTGAAGAGGAATCTCTGCATATATTTTCAGAATACAGACAAGTTGTTATGATTTCAGTTCTTCCTTCTAATTGTCAGTTTAAAAAGTACTTTCAGCTCAGACACAAAGATTAACTAAACCCCACCATATCATTCTGTGTGAAACACTATTATAAAGCAGACACAAAATGATTATTCAAGGTCACTGAGTGAATCACTGGTCGAGATGGAAATTGTGTCTTGCATTTCTGGTTCTCCTTTTGAAGGGATTAATTCAAATATATGAGGATTTCCAGTGAGATACTTCCACTGCTTTATACATAAGAATCCATGGCAACTGTTCAAAGTGTCTTGGTGAATTGTGATCTAACTTCTAGCTGCTTTTTTTGAAAACAAAAGAAAACAAAACAAAACAAAAAAATGCACAAAAGCCCAGTATAGGCACATCCCCAAGCACTAGAAAAGGTAAATTCTTAGTTGCAGTGTGAATCCAACTCATATTTAACTTTTATTTAGAAAGTGATTAATCTTCTAAATATAATGATTTGCACTGAAATGTAGTAGGAGACAATTTACAAAGCTGTTTTATTTCACAGACACACAGAGACACATATTCATGCATTTTTACGTCTATAAGTATGCAAAAGCCAGACCAGAAGTTTGATTAGATTCAAAACTTAAATCCAAAACCAGCACAGCTAATAATACAATGTAAGCTGAACAATACAACTCATCCAGTGATTCTTGTGTCAAGCCCATAATTCTGGTTGAACCACAGATCAAATTTCATCAATAGAAAGCCATCCCACTCCTAGCTAAGACATCCAAAGGTATAATTAGCCTCACTGGGAAAAACATGTGGGTTTGTTCCAGCCCAAATCTGTTCAGATTCAGATTCTAACCTTGAGATCTGGTTTTGCCTTTGCCTGATGAACAACAAAAACACATAGAAAATATTCACAGTGAGGAGACACAGATATATCTCATATCATTTAACTACCTGTGTTTCTGCTTGATAATGCAAGCATTACAGTAATACAAGAAAAAAGTCAGTAAAAAGTTTAATTCTTTATGGCTTATGGTATGCTTCTGTACCACTTGACACCAATGAGCCACAAGGTGTAAAATATTAAATATATTTTATGGTTTTTTCAAAGAAATGTTATAGATTGAGAAAACTTTAAGTGCCCTAAGGTTCAATACTAATATGTTTTTAAAAAGTACTTTATACACATGCCAAAAATGCTTTTACTTCCATATTTAAATGTTCCTCTTCGTGCTGTTGTATTTTATGCAGTAAAATCTTTCATATATCACTTACCTTTTTGTCTTCATTATATTTATGGAAAATTTCTTGTGCTCTTTCTTCACCGCCATCCGTAAACAACATAATAATCTTATTGCAGTTAGCTCTAGAGACACTGTGCTGTAGGAGATACAAACAGAAGCTTTTTTTTATTTCAGGCTATAAGGAATAACAACTGTTTTATTTGATGGCTTTTATATCAACATGCTTACTACTTTAAAACAGTAATGGCAAAACTTCCAAAGTCTTTTAGGATTTCATCCAATACCCCCTTCTGAATGAAAAAAAAAAAAAAACAAACCCACAAAAAAACCAAAACACCCAAAAAACCCCCAAAACATCAAAACCAAAACAAAACCATTTTTCTGTTCCATGAGAGTTAAATATGACTCATTTCAGATCTGGCCCCTCACAGAGGAATGGGGATCTGGTGGATCCTCTCACCTCCACCAACACAAGGAAAGCTCTTTAGCTCATACACATTACTTCAACCCCACAGCGTTCCTCTACAGATGTTCTGCATGGGACTTGTACAGTGAGGGCCTCTAAACATTTTCACTCTTCTCTCTTCTCATCCTTACTTTTTTTCTTATCTTTACTGTCCTTGTGGAAATTTGAGAATAACAATCCTCTAATGAATTACTGAATATTCTTTTTTTTTCTGCTGGACTCCTACTCACAGAAACTATCAAGCTCACTGACCACTTAAATGAAAACTCTGATAATTTAGGCGTCCTATAGGTACATCTAAAAAACTCTACCTTATAAACTTAGAAATATTTTTGCATTTGCTGGTTTTGTCACATTTCTTAAAATAAGCTCCATTTTCCACTTCTTTAATTCTTTCCTGATTTTTTTTTTTTTTTAATACAATGAAATAAGTAGCTAACCTTTAGAAAAGTATTTTAGAATAAGGTTTACATAATATATTGCAGCCAAGATATGGCCGCCTAGAGTACTAAGATCTCTCCATCACCTACTTTTCTAATTAGATTGCAACTCAAAGGTGAAGAACTGAACATGTTCCATTATTTCTGCAGAGCAAGCCTGGAATAGAGAGAATTGAGAAGACGACCCTCTGACTCCTAATTCAGCAGTCAAAGTAACTAGTAAAGACACTGGGAAAAATGCAGTTTTTGTGCAAAGGAATAAAAACATTGTTCCACACCCACAACAATAGAGAGAGGAATAGGAATTTTGGCTCCTTATGAAAGGAGCCAGAGGCTTCTCCTTTGGCATTCATCTTCTTCCCTTACTCCCTAAAAGTTAAGAATCTAGTCTAAGCAAATTGTTTGTGAATTTTACAGCCAGTGTTCCTTGTCCTCTGTGTTGCATACAAATGCTCCTAGTCAGACACATCTTGGTAATTCGGAGTAGTTGGATGTGACAGAGTAAAACCCTTAGAGATTCAGTAAAATAAATACAACTTCCCCTTCCAAAAGCCTGAATTTTGCTGTATGAATTTACTATATGGTCAGGAAAAGAAATAAGAGGGTCATCCTTATAAAATACCCAGTTGTCACTTGCTTTAGTCTTTGTGACTGGATAGTGACTAACTTTCACACGGCTGGTCAGGTGAGATGATCCCGCTCCCTTTCATTACTTTTCATCATTCTCTCTGATCTGATTCCTTGTTCTTCTGTAATAAAGAGATGAAACACCAAAGCCAGCCCTCAAACATCAGCCAATAATCCTCAATATTGCAGCTCCACGGTTCTACAGTGCTCCCAGAAAACTAAAATACAAAAACTTTATTTGCAATCACTATACTAACAGATGAATAATTATTCCTCAGACTTGTATTGGTAGTTCAATATTCAGTGAATAACTACTTATTTAATAATTTGATAAAAACAAGTCCAAATATTTTCTCACATGTAACAACACATAAAACCCACTTGAAATCAATACATTTTCTCCAATTTCATCAGCACACTGTGTTTCATTTGGAATTAAATAATTTATGACCATTTTTTGCTTGTGAAATATAACCTATAAGATACTGCTTTGGGCTGCAATCTTTTCGATATTAAAAAAGTAATAAAAGTAGAGTTGGATACTTCATAAATTAAAAAAACCCCTCACCTACATTTACAGTGATTTCATGTACGGGCCAAAATAAAATCAGAGGGAAACCAAAGAGATGACAAGGAAGGGGACCAAAGTCTGCTCATATTATAAAACATTCCAATTGATTTTAAAATGAGCAATATCATGGGCAATATGAACTTGAGTCTTTGTTTTAACTGACTAAATCAGGATTTTTCTAGCAGTTTTCTTAACTCATGCTAATACAGTATCAGAAAAATGCAGTGTTTTCTCTTTATCTCCTAGTACTTACAGAAAGGCATTTACTTACACTACACTGTTTAGACACTAAAGTCATGTCATGGAAAAAAAATCCAAGATTTTAGCCTCCAAACAATGTTGGAAATCTGAATATGAATAAGCTCAAATCATATGATATTTTCCCACCATAAAAACTTTGCATCCTGATGAACGAACTTTACAGATCAGTTTCTTACAAGTGATCAAAAGGAAGGCAGAATTGCCTTTACAACACATCTTCCCCCTCCCCCCCATTTGCACAAAGATGGAGAGATACTGGCTCAGGGAGTGAATATAAGTGATTTTGTAAAGCTGATGAAGTAATTTCATAATCTCTCTGAACAGTTTGCCTCACCAGCCCAATGGATGGCTCTGCCCTCCCATCACAGCTGAAGAGGAATGTGTTGCCTATACAGCAGCTTCCCCAGGACAAAAAATAGCTCCTTATCTTAAACCACAGAAGAATACAAGTTGGAACTGAATCTACGTATTCATTTTTAGCTCTCTCTTGCACTTGATAAAGGCCTTTCTTTTTTTTCTTTCAAAAAAACAATCAAGACATGATCCATTTTATACTGTGCCTAAAATTGCTTTTGTTTTATAGGAGTTTCACAACCTTAAAATTAACTCATTAAATGGCAGGTCAGGATTATACCTCGTGACATGACACTTTAGGAATTTATTTTTCATTATGAGTTGCATGCCACTGAAGAAGCAAAAGGTAAACCACGGCAAAAATCAACTACTTGAATCAAGAAGAGATTATTTCAAGATAATTTTTTTGACAAATCATAGTTATTATGGTATGGGGGAAAAAACCTCCTGAATTCCTAGAAATGAAGTATTATTATTTTCAAAGAAATAGCAAGCTAATATAACAATAAATAATGGAAAAATACTGCATAAAAATGATGGAATTCAGATTATTGATACTCACTTGAATTAGTATGTTGAAAAAACCTGAAGTGTCTATTTCCATCTAGCAACACATCAGACAATAAGTTTTTCATGGCACAAGTAAAATATTACTTTGGTATTCCAGAAAATTGTTAGAAATAACTGTCATCCAGAAATAGAACCCACAAAATTATTCAGAGAATTTGAGCTGTTAAAAACTATTCCATTTCCATGGACCTTAAAGCAATTGGACTGTTTGAATTCGTAAATATACAACTGGAAGCTATCCCTAAGCGTATTTTTTTATTATTTGTTTAAGCCTGTATTATATCATCCTATTATATTCTCTTGTCACCAGAGTCTAGTGCTAACTCCATCACCAGCCCTTTACTTTTCCTGCCAAATGGATTTGCCAATATCTGGAGAGGATGACTGTACTTCTATAACCTAGTGCAATCTCTTAATTTGGCTTGACATCCACAATATCCAGCCATAATTTACAGGCTTGCAGAGATTGTGTGAGGCTAATCACACGTCTGTCTCCAGTGAGAGATGGTTCCACTAGGAGACTGATCTCCAATTATTTTTTTTAAGCAATTTTTTTAGTCCTACAAACAAGTCCACTTTGAGGCTTCCCCTGTGCCCAGGGGGCTTAATACTGCCTGAACACGAAGTACAAATCTGGTGCTTGCACCAGATGTAATACATACATACTGTTAATCAAATATAAATGTTATAAGGAACAAGCTGTGTTTGTCAAAATTTATTGTGTCTTGCTGGTTCCCCCTGAAGGAGATGAATGAAGAAAAAGGGAAATGTTGTTCTGCCTGGTCCGAAAAAGTCCAACAGCTTTTAAAATCCTGTTTGCAGTTTTATATAACCATCAGCAGAGGGCACACAATCATTTCCCCACCAAACACCTCTGCTCATCTAAATAGTGATCTGCTGCGAAAATACCCTTGAAAACATTGTATTTTCTTTTCCTCCATCAAAACTTAACAAGGTTAGGAATTTTTCAACAATCTGTAGCCCTAAGCTCCGAATACAATGGTAGGGAAGTGCCCTGAAGTCCAGGATCTGGCAGATTAGAGGAAAAACTTAAATGTTTGTACACTGAAACACATAACTGATATATTAAAAAAAAAAAAAAAAAGAAAAAAACAAACCAAACCAAAAAAACCCAAACATTTTATATTTATTAAGCTAGATCTTTAACTTCTGTAAATTGGTATACCTTTATTTACACTAAAGTGAAGATCCAGTATGCAGTCTTTATGAAGGTGAAATGTAGATTTTTTTTTTAAACAACTACACAAACTTAAAAAAAATTACTAATAAAACCCCAACATTTGTGGTAAATGGGAAACATTACTAGTGAGAAAGCTAGTGCTTGGGTGCAAACTAGAAAGTACAATGTAATTAAAACATGGCGACAACGCATTTAATTTTTGAGGAAAGTACTAATTTTATGCATGGCAAGGAGAAAGGAATTAGAGTACTCTCAGGTGCCTAATATTCCTCTGTTAACTAAGTAATTTGCTCCCCTCTGTCCTGCTCAAGCCATGGTTGACTATTTATGATGTGATAAATACAAAATTGCAGGTTAACTAAATTTTGTTAGGAGATACTGTGGTAAAACTGAAATAATAAACAACATTGTAACATTCTGTAGCCTTCCATTTTAAAATTACCTGCAAATCAACCACTACCACAGCTATGTGCCAACTGAGAATCACGTGTTAAATGAAAGACTAGCTGAATGGATGAAGTAAAAAGAGTACAGCACATTGAAAACCAAATTTATTCCCAAATCTTAGCAACCTGCTTGGGGATCTGCAAAGAAAAAAACATATTGTTGGGATAAATTTACTTCTTAAATAAGGTGTTGTACTGGTTGTCACTCAGTTACATGATGAAAGAGCATGCAGTGGCCACCTGAACATTCAAGTTCTTCTTCTTTACTTTAAAGCAGAGAGAGATTACTTTCATACTTACATTTAGCAGCTGTTCAAAAGCATAGCTAAAGCCTTTTTTGTAATCTGTGATTCCTTTAGCAGAGATTTTATAGACAGCTTCTTTCAGCTTCTTCTTGTTCCTCACATTAGCTTGGACAAGATGATTAAAGCAACTGACGTTCTGAGCATTATTGTTAAACTGTAAAATAAATAGAAATAGTATTAAAGAGAGTTAATTCTCTTTTCTAGGTACTGCAGTAGTAAAGGCTAATGTTTTCTTGATCCATGAGATAAAGCATGTCACACCTGGATTTTCATTTCCACTACATTGAGACTGTCCAGCAGTGTCCGGAGATTTCAAAATGGGGCAATAAATATAAAAAAAAGAAAAAAAAAAAAAGAAAAAAAAAGTATTTGGTGCTTCACTCTGTTGCAATCCAAAACCCTCTACTGTAGTGGGAAAACTCCCACAATTTTTTTTTCAAGCTCATATAATGAAATCGAACTGAGAAATGCAGAGTTAGGGAAATAAAAAACATGGGAAAATACTTATTTTACTTTTTGTAATCACTAAAAAGTATTGGTTGAATTACCAGGTGACTTCCATGTTGCACAAACTAGTCTGTTGCTAAACCTGCTGTTTTACAATGAAACTTGCAGGTCATAACCAGTATATATTTTCTTATAGAAAACAAAATACACTCTTGGGACAAAGGAAGCACATGACAGTATAGCTCTAAGTAGAAGAATATTGTTAATAATAATACAAATTTGTGTATTGAGAACACACATTTGTGCTCTCTTACCCACATATCAGTAAAGACTAGTCACTGAAAAATTCATTTATACAAAATTCTGACATTATTTAAAAGCATACATAGGAAATTTATGTGCAAAATGTCTGCACAAGTAAAAATCAGTTTATGATCTCTTCAAAATTTGTCTCTGTATAAATATACATACATACATGTATAAGTACAATTATATATATATATATCCTGGTAGAGAGAGAGGGATACAGAGATATGTCTCACTTTTTAGCCACCTCTTTATCTATCTATCTGAAGTCAAAGATGAGACTTCTCTTAAAAATTGCTGTAACGTGTATGATTCTAACTGTAGTCTTGGATGAAGGTGCATATTACTTCACATAATCTGTGTTGAACTCTATTTGAAGGAAAATCTCCTTTTAACTACAACACAGTGATTTTTATTTAAGATGCTCTTGACTAATATTACTAAAACTGTGGTTTTGGCCAATTTTTAAACTGTTTTATCTACTCAGATTTTTTTGTGTGAGCTTTTTTTCTCACTGGCAAATAAGATGACCAAAAAACTCTGTAAAGGCACTAAACTCCAGACCTCCTAATTTACATTTCAGCTGAAAACAGATTATTATGCCTGTTCCTGATTAAAGGTCTTCAGTGAAAATAAATGTAAATGTAATTTTATGCTGTCAACCCGGTGCAAAGCCTTAAAATAACTTAAAAGTCAGGCCTTGTTGGCTTAAGTCTCAATACTGCTAATTAGTTCAATAGTACTATATAGAAGTTAGGGTAAATAAGGTCACAGATTTCAATAACTGCTCAGTCTACTTGCACATCTAAAATAAATCGCTAAGTACCAGGCACAAAGTACAGAGAGGGAACTGATATCAGCAGCAAACATCAACTTGCACTGTAATTGTAGGACACTTACAATAAAAAGAACTTAAAAGGATGAAGGGATTGATAATATCAAAGCACTTTTAATAATGCATAATAATTCAATTCAAGTTAATAGGACGCTTAGGAGGTATGCAGACTTTTCCATGTCCTGGAATCAGATGCGTACAGATGCACGCTCCTTGCCCTTAGGACCAAACAAAATATGAACTACCAGTAATTTTTATCAAACATCCACTTTAATCAATGAGACTTCTGCTATTGACTTAGTAGGAGCAAATGTACAATAGCAAACACAGTACAGCTTATGGCATAGATGACAGAGAAAGGCACCATCCTCAGCAGAAGGCTTAGCCTAATTTGTTCCAGATCCTTCTTGAAAATAGCCACAGAGCTGCAACTGTGGGTTTTTTGGCTGTAAGTGAGCAAATCCAGGCACTATTATGAAAGCATTTGCTATGCTGGATTCTAACTTATGGTTCCATGTGTAATTTCTCATTCTCACAAAAAGGATGTGTCAAAGTGCCCCATGTACTAGAGACTTTAAAGTATGAATTTTTCTGCCTCATCTTCTAATACCACAAGCCACTCCTGCATGCATGTAAAACTTAAAGAAAACTCACTATTTTGATTTTGAGCATTAAGTAGTTCACAACTAATCTCATAGCTTGTCATCTTCACATTGTATTTATTTTTCCAGGGAGCTTATTTTTGCTCGTTCCTCATGAGTTAATATTATCTTTTGTGAGATACTGATACTGGTTTATGGTATAGCTGCTGTTTTCCTGAGGACCGTATTTGCTAAAAAGTTGTATGGATTCTTGCTAGGCAAGGATATACACTATGAGAACACCATATAAGAACCTTCATATGTCTTTCTAATTAATAAGGACAGTTATTATTCTGTCCTAATTTTACAGCTCTGTTCCCCACATGATTAAAATCTGTGGAAGCAAGTTATTCTCAAATGACTTTACATGAGGTTTTCTGTCCCCTTTTCCATCAATATGCAGTTCCCAATGTGTCACAAGGAGATATGGTTTAGTGGGCATGGTGGTGTTGGGTTGACGGTTGGACTTGATGATCTTAGAGGTCTTTTCCTCTTAATGATTCTATGATTCTAACTGTTTCTAAAAACATGCAAAAGTGTGAACAAGTGTTTTAACTTTGAAAAATGCAATGTTGTATTTGACCAGGCATTCTACAAAAGAGTAT